TCGTGCAGCCCTACCTCTGAACATCACATACACATTTACATACATATTGTGACCATGCACTGTCCCTAGTAGCTGTTAAGTTGCATTGTAAGGACCACAGTTTCAGCTAAAAAAAAATCCTGCTCTACAGAAGAAAATGTCATCTACATCTTGAATGTGCCTGAGAGTGAATTTGCTCATTTTCTTTCTTTGGATCCCTTAAACATTTAGAACACATGGACAGTGTTTGCACTGCTCATATCAATTTGGCACACACATCTTTACATTTTCCTCAGTTTGCAGTTTTTCCCACATTGCAACATGCAGTGCTTGAACATCTTCTTGAGTAACTGTTTCTCAAACAAACTCCCTTAGTACAACCCTATGTCATTATCAGCCAATGAACTCTGTAGCTTCATCAATCTGTTTTCAAACTATAAACAATGTCACAGAGAAAAATAGTTTTTTCCACTGCTTAAAGCAACAGTAATTTAGTTAAGAGTTGCAAATTGGTAGGGTGTGAATTCATTGGCACTTTATTTACATTTTCACATGTATTCAGTAAAGTGGCGATGCAGTGGCACAGTAGGTAGTGCTGTCGGCTTACATCAAGAAGGTCGCTGGTTCGATCCTTGGCTCAGTTGTCAAGTTGTTTCTGTGTGGAGTTTGCATGTTCTCCCTGCGTCTCCCTGCGTTCGCGTGGGTTTCCTCCAGGTGCTCCGGTTTCCCCCACAGTCCAAAGACATGTGGTACAGGTGAATTGGGTAGGCTAAATTGTCCGTAGTGTATGAATGTGTGTGTGTGAATATATGTGTGGATGTTTCCCAGAGATGGGTTGCGCCTTGAGGTAAAAAAAATGTGCTGGATAAGTTGGCGGTTCATTCCACTGTGGCGACCTCGAATAATAAAGGGACTAAGCCGACAAGAAAATGAATGTATTCAGTAAAGTATGGAAAAATGTACCTAGCTTATGAATAATACTGCATTAAAACCAATTTCAACCTATCTAAGCTCTGCTGTGTCTCCCAGGCTGTAGTTTCACAGTAGGGATGATAAGTGGTTGTGTATCATGCACTTAAAGAATTCCAAGAAATCCCAGAAAGAGTAATGTCTTCTGGCTTTGCTTAGAATTCCATTGGTTCCGAGAGTTGCACAAGCTCTACAGCTGCTTCTTTCTCAGCACTCCCATTGGAACTTGAGAGAACACCATTTCCAAATGTGGCCTGCACTGTTCAGTTGCATGCTGAATTAAGGGCCGCATGCATAAAAAAACTAAGACAAACAATGTTGTAAATTCTAGGAAAAATTATACACAGCATACAGTTCTATAAATCTTCTTAGCTGAAAAACATTATTTTAATGTAATTTTTTTATGAACATGATTCAAATGTACAGATAATCGTCAATGAAACAATGCTGATTTAATATAGCTTTTATTATTAGTTTGAATTAGTTTCTTCTTTTTGTTTTCATTTGATGTTCATTTGAAGTTTTTAGTGGTTCTGTTGTGTATTGTTGCATGTTGTGGCTAGAATGCTTCTGTATTACCCTGAAAAGGGAATTGTGAGCAACTTTGATTGAGAGGGGTCTGGATGCAGACTTGGTGCAGTGCAATCTGAGCTGCATCCAATGCTTTTTAATGTGCTCACCGAACCCCACCCCTAACCCTACCCGTCACAGTGACATCACTCGCTCCATTGATTGCATTGTGTCTGACATTGCATCAATGATTGATGATAAAGGCTCCAACCTGATACTATTGCTCTGATTTTCCATAAATGCACTCACCGGCCACTTTATTAGGTTTTGCCTTCAGAACTGCCTTAATCCTTTATGGCATAGATTCAACAAGGTACTGGAAATAATACTTGGAGATTTTGATCCATATTGACATTATCGCATCACACAATTGCTGCAGATTTGTCGGCTGCACATCCATGATTCAAATCACCCGTTCCACCACATCCTAAAGGTGCTCTATTGGATTGAGATCTGGTAACCGTGGAGGCCATTTGAGTACAGTGAACGCATTGTTCAAGAAACCAGTCTGAGATGATTTGGGCTTTATGACATGGATGGACATGGTCAGCAACAATACTCAGGTAGTCTTTGGTGTTGACACAATTCTCAGTTAGTACTAATGAGCCCAAAGTGTGCCAAGAAATGATTCCCCACACCATTACACCACAACCAGCAGCCTGAACCATTGATACAAGGCAGGATGGAACCATGCCTTCATATTGTTGCCACCAAATTCTGACCCCACCATCTGAATGTCGCAGCAGAAATCGAGACTCATCAGACCAGGCTTCGCTTTTCCAATATTATATTGTCCAATTTTGATGAGCCTGTGCGAACTGTGAGCCTCAGTTTCCTGTTCTTGGCTAACAGAAGTGACACCCGGTGTGGTCTTCTGCTGCTGTAGCCCATCTGCCTCAAGGTTGGACGTTTTGTGCATTCTTCTGCATACCTCTGGTTCTTTGAGTTACTGTTGCTTTTCTATCAGTTTAAAACAATCTGGCCATTCTCCTCTGACCTCCCGCATTTGCACGCACAGAACTGCTGCTCACTGGATATTTTCTCTTTTTCGGACCATTCTCTGTGAACCCTAGAGATGGTTGTGCATGAAAATCCCAGTTGATCTGCAGTTTCTGAATAAATCAAACCAGCTCGTCTTGCACATTCCATGCCAGACAGGCATGCCACATTCAAAGTCACGTAAACCACCTTTCCTCCCCATTCTGATGCTCTGTTTAAGCTGCAGCAGATAGCCTTAATCATGTCTACATGCCTAAATGCATTGAGGTGCTGTCATGTGATTGGCTAATTAGAAATTTGATGAGCTAACGAGCAGTTGGTACATCAAAAAGTGGCCGGTGGGTGTATATGTACATATATTTTTTATTTATCACATACAATTTAACTATATGTAATAAAGAATTATTTGCAGAACTAGATTAAATAAAATCTATTTTATATTTGTTTAATATTTAGTTTTTCAGTTCACATAGTTTCAAGTAAGACATGTTTTCACTTATAGTTTATTCAACTATTAGGCTACCCGGCAATCAAATCCAGACACATTACTACCAAAATATTATCAGACCAAAAACGAAAAGAAGCAGGAAGAGCACAACATCTGAGCATTGCTAAGAAAATTCACACCTTAGCGTATTTCCTTTATAATGAACACCTTTCTTGCCACAACGCTTATCAGATGTGGAGAAAAATGAATTTATTTTTATTACTTTTGTGTCTTTATTTACTAGAAAACTGTTTAACAACAGATTAATAATTATTTTTTCTTTTGCATGATACCATATACTGACCAGGCATACTTCTTCTTTTTTACTGTGTTGCATACTTTTTAGAAGGAACTGCTGACAAGAGGGTAATAGCAGAATAAGAATCAATATAGTGCGGGGGCTCTTGTTCCAGACTGCTGAAGTCACAAGGAGCATGATGCTTTTAGAAATTGTGAAATATATTGAAGATGCACTTAATTGTTCAGTTCTGGTTTGCAGAGAAGGATTCCAGAAAAGAGGAAATATGTCTGGGTGCAACACTCAAAGGACTGCAGAATGACTGATAAGTGACGTTACACCAAAACTCCACCTGTTGATATCAGTTGTGTATAAATGCTGGAGTCAGGAAAATATATGTTAGTTACGAACCTCCTGAATGTATCTAATCAATTACTAATATTTTTGGCATTGAAGAAAACCCTCTCCTGACCTTTTTTTTATTGAACACGCATGGAATTAGCTTGATATTCCAACACAGACCAGCATTTCCTTAATGAATACAAATGTGCGCACTTGCATGTAAATGCATGTCGGACTACAGTATTTATTTTCAAAGCTGAATGCCCACAGGAACTGACCATTGTTTTTCTGTTACCCGCTGTTTTCGGGGAGAAAGACTTCTGAGAATGACCAGAGGGCGTGAGATTGCATTGCTCTTTGAAGAACTGAGCACTTCCTGTATATTTTCTTGTGTATGTGAGCTACATTTGGCTCACGAAAACAAGAACTCTTCACTAACGTAAATCTAAAATGCAAGATTGCACGTTTGACAGCAGAAAACAAAATTCAAAACATGGTAAAATTCACAAGGTTGATACAAAAAGTAGAAAGCACATCCGTACATACTGTATGTGCTGATGGGCCTCTGAGATGGCATCTGTAAACATTGTGGAGCTCTTAACACCCTGCAGGTAGTGTTCTTGTTTACAGTCTGCCCTGAACATGTTCCATCTTTGTCTTTCCACATGGTTAAGTTGTTCTAGCTACAGCTATCACAAGTTCGGGAAGCCAGTGGAAAATCTGCCATCTCACAAAGTCATGAGACATCGCACGAACAGGCCTGCAGAGGATACTGGAAATGAAGCACTATGTCAAGTCAAGGTAAACAGTGTCACATGAAGGTTTCGCTCAAACTCTAATCATTTCCTGTAAGCCTTGAGCCGATGGCCACACAGCTCAACCAAAACTAAAATAACATAAACAATATAAACTAATGATGATAATTATATTTTATGTAATTTTGTTTCTTCATCAACACAGCACTAAAAGTATGTTCACTACTATAAATAAAAGTTGACTATTACCAGCGGTAATCCATGCTTTCATGATTAGCGCTTTCATGTAGTTGACCTAAAATTCGAATGTCGCAACAAAAATGGAGACTCATCACACTTCTCTGACCCTTCTCTTAGAGATGGTTGTGCATGAAAACCAAAGTAGATCATCAGCTTCCGAAATACTCAAACCAACCCATCTGGCACCAACAGCCATGTTGCATTTAAAGTCAATTTAAATCACTGTTCTTCCCCATTCTGATTGTCTTGACCATGTCTACATGCCTAAATGCATTGAGTTGCTGTCATGTAATTGGCTGAATAGAAATTTGCTTTAACGAGCAGTTGTACCTAATAAAGTGGCCGGTGCATGTACATGCATTTATTTCTAGTAACACAACAACCTCTGAGAGAACAGTCAAGTGTCCTGTGTGTCCATGCATGTCATCACCTCATTCAACTATCTTGCCTTTCTTGTAATCAAGAGCTAAATTTGGAACCTTAAACCTGGCACTTCACACACATGCACGGTGCATGCCTCCTTTAATGACCACCGAATAATGTTTGGAGACCATTTTATCCCTTTATTTACTCCAGAGAGTCCAAAGCTCAGGTGATGTGCAGTGACCAGGCAACTGAGTGGACGGATAAAAGCAGCAGGCGCTATTCATGCAGGTTATCACTGGGAAGGCAAAACGGATTCAAGACACTAGATGTTATCCAAAGACTGAGAACAAAAATGAGCATCAGTAATGTTGCTCTATAGCAGATCAGCTGCAATAATGGAAGTATTGTATGGTTATGGGATAAGTAGCACATTATACCTGCAGAAGCATTTTGGGCACGCTCAAAGCTGGTTTACCTTTGTGTCAACAATAGCAGACCTGCGGACAACATTTTTATTTTTTTTCCCCATTTGGTTCCACCTACAATCAGCAGTGGGAGTCAAGCTAGTCTGGGTTGCTGTTGTAGGAGACTGGCTCAACTTAGTTCTTAAGTGGTAAGTGTTTGTTAACCTAATTTCACTAAGTAGGACATGTATCTGTATTAAAATCTATGTTGATCCTGGAACAACATTCCAATCAGAATTAAGGGATGCATATACAGTTTATGTGACGTTTTACAGTTAGGTTTAGGCACTTCTACATGATTGTTATCCAACTATTATTCCCCTCTGATGGGAATGATTTACAGTTATGGTTTGGTTTAGGGGAAGGGAATAGGTATGGATTAACATGGATGTTGATTTAGGATTGCATTGTACTTGGAAAAATCATAGCATGCCTTTTGTTTCTAAAGGATCCTTTAAAGGGATAGTTCACTCAAAAATGTTGTCATTTACTCATTTTCTACATCTAAGTCAGCTGGAGTTTCTTTCTTCTGTTAAACCCAAAGGAAGATATACTGAAGAATGTTGAAAAAACATTTTTTTAAAAAGTTTTTACTATGTATGTTAGTGGCGTTATGTTTAAAACCACTTGAGTGTGAGGAAATGATGAGGAAATAAAAATAGGTGAACTATTCCTTTAAAGGTATTGTCATCTATGCATAGTAGAATTAGTGCACATATTAGAGCCTACAGTAAAAAGCCTTTTGTACTGCTCCAGTAACAGCGGTAACACTTTACAATAACAGTATGTAAGAAAAAATGAAGATGACGAAGAAAATCTCAATTAAGATGTTTATTCAGCATAGCAGTCTCAAAATACATGGCAGTACCTAGGGTTCACTGGAGTCAGAATGAACCCTGAACATTCCTAAACTCAAACCTTTATACTGTTTTTGATGTTGCCTTTAGATGTTAATGAAGTTGCTCCTTTGCTGTTGACCCAGCTGTTCTCCCTATCTCTCCATGTTAATGCAGTTTCAACACCATTGATGAGATGGTTCTTTGTGCACCACACCCATCCCCATTCTACAATTGTTACCATTTGGTCGAGATGTAGTCACCTCAAACAATGCAGAGACAAGACCTTGTTGACTTCTCATTTCTCTCATAAGTCAGCCCTTTTGGGAAATGAGCATCAATTCACCATTTAGAGTGGAAGTTGGGTCGAGGCAGACTCATTTCTTACAAGTACATAAATAATGATGTATTAATATGTACACTAAACATTACCTTATTATAATACTAATGATAATGGATGGACTAATCATGAACTAACATAAAACATGTCGCAACAACGGCTACCTTAATTACTTTTTAGTACATGTTGTTAATACACTTATTATCATATTTAATACATAGTTACACCTAAGTAACATTATTTCATTTAAGTTTAGGCAAAATGTATTAAACATGAACTCATGAGCTTAATTATGTCATGACTTTACTTGGAGGGGCACATCATCATCATGAACTCCTGGGTTTAAACTGTTGATGTTGACAGAACACTTTTTTATTCATATTCAGTGTAAATGCACTAGACGGACGTGCATAAGGAGTAGTTAAGAATTGGTTAATCGTGATGTGCCCCTACAAGTAAAGTCATGATATTATTATAAATTAACATATCATGAGTTCATGATGGTTAAATTAAGCATAAACTAATGCATTAATCAACAAACAAGCAGGGGCGGATTGGCCATTGGCAATTCTAGCAAATGCCAGAAGGGCCGAACCCTTTTTTAAATGTGGGCCGTCAAGTTAAAAAAAAAAAAAAATATATATATATTTCTTAATATGTATTGTTTTTACATGCATGCAGTTTTTATCTCTTGCAACATGTGAATATTAATATAATGTCATGATGATGATAGTAATAATACATTCATTCATTCATTTTCTTGTCAGCTTAGTCCCTTTATTAATTCGGGGTCGCCACAGCAGAGTGAACCGCCAACTTATCCAGCAAGCTTTTACGCAGCGAATGCCCTTCCAGCCGCAACCTATCTCTGGGAAACATCCACACACACACATTCACACATACACTCATACACTACGGACAATTTAGCCTACCCAATTCACCTGTACCGCATGTCTTTGTGGAGGAAACCGGAGCACCCGGAGGAAAACCACACGAACGCAGGGAGAACATGCAAACTCCATACAGAAACGCCAACTGAGACGATCAAACCAGCGACCCAGCGACCTTCTTGCTGTGAGGCGACAGCACTACCTACTGCGCCACTGCTTCGCCATAGTAAAAATAATAATAATAATAATTAAATGTTAAGCATTTGGCCCGATCGATGGCGGCCGACTAGTTTTGAGAGGGGCCGACCCAATCAAAGGTTACGCAATCATAATCAAAATCCGGCAAGAATATTAAACAAGCAGTAAGCGGAAAAGGAAAGACGAAGCCGAAAAGTTCAAAGAAAGCAAAAAAGGGCTCTAAAATCAGATGCTGAAATATTTCTGAAAGGTTTAAATTTGGCTGCTGCATCGGAGGACAGAAGCGCGGTAGAGGAAGTAAGAAAACAGAAAATATACTTCTAAGTCATTATACTAAAATATAATTAACATCAAAATATAATTAATATAATTGACATCATTCACACTACTTCTGACAGTTTTTGACAACATAAACTGTGCTTAACAGAAAGCTAGCATATAACTCCCGTACATTTTAAAATGTCATTATCAGCAGATAACATGGGTTTTGTATACAGACTGCTGTATGCTACTGTACTAGCAATATAGTTAATATATAACTATAGGTTATTTTGAATTAATATATGCAAAATAACCTGTAGCTTTAGCCATAGTACTGTAAGCATTTGTAGTAAACTCTGAATACATAGCTAGTCGTTAAATACATGCAGAGGTTACAGTATGTATTTAATGCTTAGGTAGAGGGGCAGAGAATGACAACGGGTTGTTTTTGTTCCAGCCACGTACATAAATTTTTTAATATCTATTACGTATGGTACTGCTTATATTATTTCACTACCTGTACACAGATATAAGTGAATATGCGTGTCTGTGGGTGGAGCTGAATTTTTGTCTCAGTCCGCTCTTGCAAACAAGCATGTACTAACAAGTAATGAAGGTAGCTAATATTCACACATGAACTCATGTGAGTGATGTTGTAGTTAAAGTTAGTTCATGATTAGCACATGCATTAACTCATCCTTATAAGTTCATAATAAAGTAATGTTAAGTTTACATATTAACACATCATTATTCATGTATTGTTATTGTAAAGTGTTACAGTGACAGCTTTTCAACCTTCATTTGCGAGAATGAAAATCCCTTTTTAATAAAAGCATTCAGAGTTAAAGACTTAATAAAAGATTATATAACCAATGGCAAAACAAAATCACAAATAGTCTCAAAACTGAACATCTATTTAGCCGTGTGTTGTATTTATACTTAAGAAGTTTGTTCTAATCAGATTGTCTTAATTGATTAAACAGGCTCATGTTTGGCGAGAGACCTTACTGGTGGGTGAGAGAAACTGTTTATTATGGCAACTTGACTGTACCACAAATTAAACAGTTCCCAATGACCTGTGAGACCGGCCCTGGTGAGTCTCTCCTGATGTTTCTCATTTTATTTGCACAGAGCAGCCAGAACACTAAATCAAGAGCAGGTTCCACAGTGCTTTCTGTCCGCTCTTCTAGGAAGCCCCTCGGGACATGCAATGGGCGCTGCAGGGGTCTACTATGCCATGGTTACGTCACTGCTGCTGAATTTCAAGGAGTGTGACCCTCTGAAAAGATGGTGAAGGACTCTGTTCTGTTTATCCTCCCACTTCCTTTTAATCTAGTATTGAGTAGGACTTCATTTGTAAAAGAATACCTGAATGAATGCATGGAAATGCCCTTAAGCAACAAGAAATCCTTCTTAACAATCTCTGATATAAAGAGGAAGGAAGGAACATATGCGGGCTTTGTCTTAGGAATACCAAATCATATCATGAACAACAGTATCTTTGCAGGCTGGGCCCCCTGTCAAAAGGAAATTTCTCATTAGTACTTGTGGGCTCATTTATCTTAGATCTGTTTTTTCCTCGCTTCAGGTTGAATATTGTACACAGGCAGTTTATTTTTGGGTGGATGATGGGCCCATTACTCAAATATTCTGAAAAAACAATGAAAGACCTGATCATTGCTTTACTTTTTAATATTAACAACTTTGCTTTATCGTATGTGCTTGTGCCTTATACTGTAGGTGCTTGCAGGCTCTTCTTTGGGCTGTTTTCTGGAGTGTGCAGGTGTGTGTCAGTCTTTCTCGAGTCTTCATTGCTGCTCATTTCCCACATCAGGTCATTGCTGGAGTTTTTTCAGGTCAGTTGCAAAATATACTGCACCTTTTTCACATAATTTTGCTTTAAAATGTATATTTTAGCTTTTGAATTTCTTGGAGGCTATACGTTTGAACTGTTTTTTTAAACATCACTGTTAATGTTTTGCTTACCAAGGTTGCATTTATTTGATTAAAATGCAGTAATTTATCATGATTAAAGGCTGTATTTTCAGCAGTATTACTTCATTGAATGTTAAAACAAACAGTTTTGCTACATAATTTTATTGTGGGAATTATTTTACACATTTAGAAATGTAAGTAGTTTTTCATAAAGCCATGACATTTATCAAAAACTAACCAATCGTATACTGCACATTTGTGGCCACTATAAAGATTAGGGATGACCGATATATCGGTGGCCATATAGATATCGGCAGATAAATGCTGTTTTTAATGTTATCGTCATCGGTCCAATATGAAAATCAGGCCGATATCTTTAAGCTATTAGATAACGTAATTGTACAGAACTGCCTACCTCACACATGCATGGATTGAACTTGTTCAGACTTGTCCAGTGCATTATAATGGAGCTTCCCTCACATTGTTTATTCTTCAAAGTCCGTCCTTTCTTTGTGTGTTATTGGTGTGTGTTAATAACTCAGTAAGTAGCCATATTCCTTATCATTGAAGATGTTTAATAGTGTGCCATTGTGCATTTTGGTTTAAACCGCCTCAGGAAAAATAATAAATGTGTAAACAAATAACAGCGATGTACACGTGCTAAACAGCTCTTTGGGTTGTTTGTAATCTAATATGATAGTTTTTGTTACTATCAACATGTTGCTTTTGTTTGTTAATTAAATCCCATTTTGTTATGGAACCTATTATTTTTGTGCAACAGTCAAGTTATCATTTTTAAGTTATTAAATTATTTTCGATATGCTAATTTATGTGAAATCGTGAATATAGGTCTATATAATCACCTTTTGAAACTGAGTAGGCTATTCAGTTTATAAGATCAGTTCAAACTTTTATGAAGTTCTTAAAAATAAAATCAGTTGTTCACTGTATAAAAATATACCATTTTGAAATACTAATATTTATCGGCCTCCAAGTCTTAAGAGTTATCAGTTATCGATATCGGCTCAAAATTCCATATCGGTGCATCCCTAATAAAAGGTTATTTTTGAGAAAACAATGAAGAAGAGACATTTTGGAAAGAAAAAGAGCATATTTGGTTTATAAAAGAAAAAAAGAATGGCTTATTTTATAAAACTGTACGTGCTTTCATTATTGGCTTCATTAATTTAATTGCTGAAAATCACTATATCATAGTTATGCATGTTATAAACAATATGTATAATCATAACTGAGCATCAAATCAGCACATTAGAGTTTCTGCAAATTCATGTGACACTAAAGATTGGCGTAATAATGCTGAAACTGAGCTTTCCAGGATTTAATCATTTAATAATTCTCAAACGTATATTAAAATAGATAATAGGTATCATTTAATAAAGGTTATAATAGTTCAAGATTTTACTGTTTCTGCTTTTGTTTTGATAAAATAAGCTTGATGAGCTTAAGAGACGTTTTATCAGTAGAATAATAATCATCTGTTACTTCTCTTAGTTTGTTATCAGCATAAAATAATTATTCACTCTCACTACAGGCATTGCAGTGGCCAAAGCTTTCAACAGAGTGTCCTGGATATACTCAGCCAGCTTGAAGGGTTACATGCACAGCATCCTCTGTCTGGTGTTTGTTGCGCTGGGGCTTTATGCGGTGTTGGATGCTGCTTCAATTGACCCCTACTGGAGCCTAATGAAGGCACAGAAGTGGTGTATTCAATCTGAATGGGTCCATCTGGACACCACACCCTTCGCTGGCCTCCTCCGCAACACAGGGGCCCTGTTCGGCCTGGGACTGAGCCTCCATTTGCCTACTCATGGTGATTTGCAAAAAAATAAGAACTGTGGAAACAGCGCCTTTTACAGACTGACCTGTACAGCTGCAACCCTGCCCCTGCTGAGCCTCTTAGACTCGTTCAGACCACCCACCAGCACTCATGCTCTCTTCTACACGCTGTCTTTCTGTAAGAGTGCCACAGTGCCTCTAACTACAATCAGTTTTGTACCTTACTGCATAAGCACACTAGCAAATGCGTACCGCAGGATGAAAGCCCATTAAACTTTGAGTTGATAAATGTGATAAAAACTCAATCTGATCATGTGTTTATGCAAATTAAGCACATGTATTTAATGTATGTTTATTTATATGTGTTTTCAATTTTATGTGTTAATTGATTGGCGAATGTCTAGTGATATATATATATATATATAAAACGTTAATATAACACATTATTTTACATGAATAATACAACTTTCACAACAGAAATAGATAGAAGGGTTAAATAAAAAATATGTTCATAGATTGTATTTGTGTGTATGCAGAGTTCAGATGCTTAAACTTCCATCGAAGATGAACATTTCTCTCAGCCTTCCTTGTTTATGTTAGGTTTTTTATACTTTATAGAACAGGAAAAAGACTAATTCTTTGCCATAGCCATAATATTATTGAATCTACACAAGATCCTGATAAAAATGCTCATTTTAGAGGAAAATTTCATATGGCATTAAGAGGTTTTGCACCTAAACTCTTCATATATATATATATATAGTCCCCGTTTATTTTTTTCCCTTATTTCGAAGATTTTTTAAACACATTTCTAATCATAATAGTTTTAATAACTCATTTCTAATAACTGATTTATTTTATCTTTGTCATGATGACAGTAAATAATATTTCATGGATATTTTTCAAGACACTTCTATACAGCTTGGTGACATTTAAAGGCTTAACTAGGTTTATTAGGTTAACTAGGCAGGTTAGGGTAATTAGGCAAGTTATTGATGGTTTGTTCTGAAGACAGTCGGAAAACATTTTGCTTAAAGGGGCTAATAATTTTGTCCTTAAAAAATGGTGTTTAAAAAAATAAAAACTGCTTTTATTCTAGAATAAAACAAATAAGACTTTCTCCAGAAGAAAAAATAGGATCAGACATACTGTGAACATTTCCTTGCTTTGTTAAACATAATTTGGGAAATATTTAAAAAAGAATCAAAGGAGGGCTAATAATTATGTCTTCAACTGTGTATGTGTGTATATATATACTGTATAAACAAATGTTATTATATTTTAGATGTTATTGTGTTACATTTTATATTTTTGTGCTCAATGATTGTCTTGTGTTTTGTAACTTGTTTTAAATTTAGATGAAAAGCCTATAATAGGCTGTTTAATGACAGGTTTACTTGCTCCTCTTTATGAAGGTAAAATGTTTTGTGCTTACAGAGAAATACTAAAGAAAATGTCAAAATAATTCTGCGCTGAGAAAGAATCAATGTAAAGCAAAAAAAGCTCTTACTTAAAAGGTCAAGCCAGTAGTTTGGTAATCCTTACTAACAATCACATATCAATTAAACTGAGCTTGCAGTTAAATACAGCTTATGTTTCTAATTGGGCAATGCATTAATACGCAGAACTTATGTCATATGGCATAGAAAAAGATTTCTTTCATGTCCTGTTAATCCTAAATGTAAAGAAGTGCACTTTAAAATTATGAACCACATTTATCCTGCAAAAGAATTTCTAAGGTTAAAATTCAATATTGGTGAAAAATGTATGCCAATTTTGTAATTTAGATATTGAAACAACTGAACACTTGTTTTTCCAATGTAATCAGGTACAAAGATTTTGGGACAAAGTATTAGATTGAAGACTTGTCTTGTCATGGGAAATGATTAAGTTTGGCCCAATACTTAACGATAAAAGATTTCTTATGTAATTATAATTTGATGTTATTATTAAAATTCTATATTTGTAAATGTTTTTTTTTAATTCTCCCAGAACTAGTGGTGATTAAATAAGAATTTGTGATGTATTTTAAGACATTAAGAGAGCTTTAAAAAATGCCAAAAAGCACATATTTATATTCGTAATTAGAGGATTTTGGTTTCATAATTTGAGAACTTTAACTCCCCTGCTACTTAATGTTCTTTATCATTTATTTTTTGTTATTTTATGTTGTATTATTAATAAGGATGGAAAGATTGTGAATGTATGTAAATTAATTGTTATCCCAGTCTTTTGTGTAATTTTAAAAAGTATTAATGCCATTCTGTTACTGTTCAAACATTGTTAATAATTTATTTTTTTTTTTTAAAGCTATATGGCATACATAACAATTATGCAACTTAACCTCTTAAGGCCCAAGCTGTTTTTTTACATGCATTGTTTTATTTCTCTTTGCTATTTGAGCTTATTGGAACCTAATTAGAATAAAACCTAAGTATCATCTTTTGATATGATGTACTTTTAGAGAAAAATGATGCCCATATATGTGGACTTGTGGTCTGAATTTCCATAAAACACAATAAAGTCACCTTTGTGTAGCAAAATGAAAAACTATTTCTGCCTTGAACACAGCAGCTTTTTCCTGACTGTTTTTTAATGCATTAATAAAACATACACACATACTTTTTTGAACATGTTTTGACTATCAGTACAAAAAAAATCTTATTTTGGACAGTTAAAAAGTGTTTTGGACCTTTCGTATGCTGCAAAACAGCTGCAGGATGTCACTGTATGTCTGTAACAAAGCATAAGACATAAGAGCTAAAATGCTGACCACGTATGTGGCCACTAAGGCCTAGGCAGTTAAATACATACTTATACCACGTACGTGTATATGTTTTATAGAAGATTACAAGAAACAACCACTTGTTTAATGAGTCGCAAAAGATTAAATAGATGGAAATGTGTGGTTTCAGATGTGCAGTCATCGACGAGCACCTTAAAATAGACAGATATTACGACTCACTGTCGCCATCAAGCGACAAAAGTAAGACCGCAGGAACTGAACAATGATAATAATATCTTTATTCTTTGTGTTTTTACTCAAAAAAACATTTGTAATCAGTTTAAAATAGCTAACCGTTAATAAATTTTCTGCGCCTTTTAAAAATAACCGCTAACGTAGACTAACCATATTCCGTACACAACGATGTTCCGTACAGATGACCTTTTAACGTTAATCTCTGAATAAATACTTATGGGTCGTAGGCAAGCTATATATCTGTGTAATCTTTAATTCTCACTCTTTCAGCCCCAACCACAACAGAGACATTCCTACTATATGTTTCCGAGTAAAATCAGTAAGTTTGCTACGTCCACCTAATGCGCTTGAAAACAGAAAGTGGGCAAGCTTAAAGTGCGAGTGTCGCCTGGGAGGGGAGACATTTAAAGCCCCGACAATATGCTTTTGCATTTAATTTATGCTTCACACGGTATTAGAGTCTTTATAAAGTGAATATTATGTTATCACAAATGGTTAAATAAATTATCTTTGGTTGAATAAATGCTTTGAAATGGGGATGTTTAAACATCAATTGTGGGTAAATACCGCATGTCGCAACTCTCCGCCTGAGAGACAGGCTGCAAACGCTGTTTGGATCCTCCTTTTGCAGTAATGATGTTTATATTCATAAAAGGTCAGTTAAGTTAGCTTCAATGTGCATGAATTTAATGTTTTTATATTTAAAATTGTCATGCTCTAATAAAATAAACATGATATAAAAAGTAAATGATTTTGAAGCTATTTCATTTAAAACTTTCATAAAAGAGTTATTTAATATATCATTAAATTCAAGTTAAACACAATAATAGTATATTCTGACATAAGATTTTAATAAGACTTCAAACAATGCCCATTTTTGCCAGTAAATTAAAGTTATGCGCCCTGTACGGAACACTATTTTAGTCGTGTACGGAACACCGTTAATACCTATCATCTTCCGTACACATGCGAAGGCGGTACTTATCCCATCTTTTCTCAAAAACTACTGGTCAAAAAGACATCAATCAAGATTTGGATTGTGCAATAGGTATTCCCCCAGAGAATGAACGCACGAGCATGCTTATCTGGCTTTCAATGACGGAGGAGTGGTCGTTTGAGTGCGCTGAATAGCGAAAAGTGTACGGAACATGGTTAGTCTACGTTACTTCCTCGAGTTTATCATTTTCCGTGAGACCTTTACATTACAATATTGCACCGGAAGTGGAGAGTGTAAACAGACGCGCGCAGTCATGACCCACGGCTGTCAGTGATAACACGATGTTTCCTTATGCCTAATTAATGTTTCCTACTCTTCCAAGGGGATGCGGCACTTACGTGGCTTTCGGGAGGTTTACTCTACCTAACTGCGTTAAGAAGTCAAGCAGAAATTAAACCTTGTACATCGGGAGCCGTGGAGAAGCGCTATGCCGAGGCGGAAGGTAACGTTATGACCAACCGACTGACTAACTGCATCCTCCAGGCCAACAGTTCAGACTCAGCATCACTCACACACACACACGCGTGTTCATGGGCAGCTTCTCTCTCTTCAGTTCACATACTCACTCCACATCCAGCAGTTTACATCATAATTAATGACTGTCTTTGTCATCTTTCTTCATCTTAAGTGTTTGGAATCTGCAGATGGTTGTCAGAACTGTAAAGTTTAGACTTTAGAAACCAGGAAGTTGATATCCTGTTTATGTAATACAAGATTATGGCCACTGCTTTTAATACAAGAGTTTGCTAATAGTAGTATAAAGTACAGTTTAGATATGTTAGACTTGGTTCATTCGATTCATACAAATTAAAATACTCTAACAAGTAGCGGATATGATATTTAGTGTGCCTCATATTTAGACTTGTACTTTTGTAATTGAAGATTCAGTGTATATCTGTAATCTGTGTAATGGCATAACATCATGTTTTGTAAGTAATGTTAAAGCATATATGTTTATAAAGCTATTAAAATAAATTACTCTACGGTCAAAAGGTTGGGGTCAGTTTTTTTTTTTCATGTTTTTCTTTTTTTTTAGGAAAATTATTCTGTTCATCATGGCAGCGTTTATTAAATGTAAAATGTATTTTAATTTGTTAAATATTTATTAAAACTTTAAATACTTCTGTCTTATTGGTTGTAGTTTCAAATGAAATTATTACTCTAGTCATTATTACGTTTATTACTATTACTTTTAATAATAATAATAATAATAATAGTGATGAATTTCAGAGTGATTTCTAAAGGATCATGTGACTCTAAAGACTGGAGTATTGAAGCTGAAAATGCATCTTTAAAATCACTGGAATAAATGATTCAATTAAATGATAAACTACTTTTGTACAGTTATTCTGTCGTGCAATAACATTTCACAATTTTACAATTTGTACTGTATTTTTAATTAAACAAATGCAGCCTTGGTGAGCAGCAGAAGCTTATTTTAAAACATTTAAAAATCCCACAGACCCCAAACTATTGACCGGTAGTGTAAATATGGTTCATTTGCAATTTACACACACTGCAATAATAATAAATTGAATATAATTCTCGTTATGAAAATAAACATTACATAATGCAGGTAAATATCAGCAAAGAAAACCCCTGGTTGATACTCCTGGCACTGAGTAATTAAAAATGCAAAACTCACCAGTGTAAATGTTAGAGGGAAAGTAAACTAAATTATTCTTTCATCTCAAAGTTATCTTAATTACCAGCAGTATTTGGTTAACCTGTAGTAAATGCAGTCTTTAAAGTCATTTTATCTCAATTATTTCAATCTGTATAGTATAATAGGATTTGCGATGAAGCTAGTTTGTGCTGTTGTTGACTCTTAGAGAAATGCTGGCAGCAGTTCTGAAGGCACAGAAGACTCGGACTTCTCGGCTGAACACACAGACAGCTCAGAGAGTGAAGCACACGTGGTTCGAAACACTCGCCTCACTCGCTCCTCGTTGAGACTCAGCCGCAGCTCGCAAGGTAAGACACTGGAAATCACCTTCGTGGAGATCTTGAGTAAAGGTGTGATTGATTATGCACACAATAATTTCACTTGCTTGTTGGAATAATGAAATTAGCGATTCTATTTTCTGCCCCAAAACAAGTGTGAGAGGGGTTGATAGGCAGGAAGCACAATGAATGGAAAACAAGAAAGAGAAGAATGAACAAACAAACAAACCTGAGAGCTTTGTTTCTAGATGCCAGTCCTGTGAGGAACCCGACTGCCCCAGTTTCAGAGGAGGTGGTGAACTATTCCACTCGTCGAGTAACTCGTAGTCAACAGCAGGGGGCGACCGTCTCACCCAAGAAATACCCCTTGAGGCAGAGTCGCTCTTCTGGCTCAGACACGGAGCAGCATGGGGAAATCTCAGAGAGGGGTAGGAGGAGAAAACCGCACGGTTCTTCACTCATGCCTTCCCTCATTTGAGTCTCTCCATGCTTGGCTCTGCTCATTTGTGTGTCTTCTCATTTGCTTCATCTTTTTGTTTGTTTTACGGCACAGATTGTCCTCAGTTCATACAACATGCTACTTGCGAGCTACAGTTTCACTGCCATACAAAAGTTTGGGGTCGGTAAGATTGTTAATATTTGTTTGCTTGTCTTGCTTTTTATATTTACGTACATTACTTATTCAGCAGTGTTGCATTAAATTGATCAAAACTGATATTTATTAAAACAATGTGTTATAATTTCCACAAAAATATTAGGCATCACAACGGTTTTGGTAAAACTTTGATAATTGACAGTTCTGAAAATATGTTTTTGATATCTGATTCTTGAGCAGCAAATCAGCATGTTACAATGAACACTGGAGGTCATGTGACTCTTAATATTATTAAAGAAACGTATTATTATTAAAGAAACAGCTATTGAAAAATCATGTTTGGCTCGGCATGATTGAGTTCTATTAAATAATTTTATTTGTTTTAGTATTTTACAAATTTGCTGTTTTGACTTTGTGTACTAAAACTGCAGCCTTCATAAGCACACTTACAGAAGTCTTAGCAGCCCCAAACTTTTGAACAATAGTTTGTCATTTTCACAACATTTTTTGTTTAAAAAATCAACAAATAATCTTATTTAAAGTCATCCCCTGACTTCTTAATATCTCATTTTATGTTGTCCTGTGGTTTTGTAAATTTTTTTCAGTTCTCATTTGCTTTAATTTGAATTCATCTACTTCACTCTACTTTTGTTTATTGGTGTTAACAAATAAATAAATATGAATACGACACATTTCTGAAGACCATAAAATAATGACTGGTTTATAATTTGGTTTATATTAAAATGAATTCTAAGATAATAAGTCTGTAGTAAGTAAAAAGAAGTTACGCTAAAGCATCACTTATCATTTTATCATTCTGGTATTGTCTTGTTTGTGGTTAGTTGTTTCTTCACTTAAGCTCTAGTTATGGTGTTGCTTCAATCTTCTTTTCATCTGTAGTGACACTACTGCAGTTCATTCCATCATGTGCTGATGTACAATATATGAAACAAATGTATGTTACACTCCTGGACTTTATTAAGTCTGGTTTATTGTTGTATTGGCCATCCAGACATTAAACAAAGCGCAGACCATGATGAGTCCCCACCGCGGACCCCCACAGGCAACGCTGCCTCCTCTGAGTCTGACATTGACATGTCCAGCCCAAACGTGTCTCATGATGAGAGTCTGGCTAAAGAACTGTCACTGAAAGAATCAAGTCTCGCACATCGGCCCAAGCGACGTCGCTTTCACGAGAGCTACAACTTTAACATGAAGTGCCCCACTCCTGGCTGCAATTCACTTGGTAATTGGAGTTCAGATTGTTGGTTTTATGATTTACAGTGAATATGTAAAGTACCCTTCAAAAGTTTGGGGTCGAAAAGGATTCAAAAGATGTCTGATAATTAAGAAACAGGTCTCATGATTATCTTCACTGATAATCGCTGCTTAATATTTTTGTGGAAATTGTGATGTATTATTTTCAGAAATGTTTGATCAATACTGAGTTCAAGATTGTTTTTTTTCATAAGTAGGTTAAACTCACAATTTGAATATGAATATAATGAATATAAATTGTATAAAATTAGCGGTAATAAAACTTTGACTTTTCCAAACCGTGGTAAACCTTTAAACCGGTTGTCATCCTATGCCTAATTTGTAAAGTACAAGACACTCAGAGCTTGAACTTGCTACAGCTTAGCCTGAGTTATTTACACATCAACTAACGTTAGTGTTCTGACTCCAAACTTTTGAATGGTAGCCTATTTGGGTCATTTTTGTATTAATAGTGTTCTTTTTTTCCTTCGTGCAGATGTTTACACGTGTAGACTTGTCAAATATTCACCCTTCATTCCTTTTTCAGGACATTTGACAGGGAAGCATGAAAGACACTTTTCAATATCTGGATGTCCACTGTATCATAACCTTTCTGCAGATGAGTGTAAGGTATGGTAAATCTTATGTCTGCTTCTGAGCTAAACCTTTTAGTAGATGATATTTAGCTAAAACAGTAAGGTTTACATAAAACCAGCTGTAGCTACCCGCTAGTTATTAAGACAGTCCACGCTTCCCAAATACTGATGTCCATGCGTTTCATTTATTGAACACCATGAAAACTAAAAGATAAACAAATAAAAAAACCAAATGCATCATACAAACACATTCAAAAGAACATCAAAATAAACAAATAATTTACAAACAATGTTTCTTTTACTGTGTTGGCCTGATATAACCAGCAGTAGAATAATCAGGAGCAGTTAACAGGTGCCTGCATTGAGGTCTCACTATGCTGTTTATACAAACTCTCACAAGTTAAATCAATCAAGGCAACCGGAAACAAGGAAATTTATAACATAATCCAATACTCTTTCAAATAATGAAATACAAAAATACAAGCTGACCGATCAATGTCAGCTACACCAGCAGTGGGGAATAATGCACAAATCAAATACTAGGTTAAAAGTGTAGATACCGTAAGAAAAGGCGATTTGTAATAGGCATGGGCTTTGGGATTTGACTGTATGAGAACTTTGGATAAAAATACCATGGTATTACAGTATTGTGATTACTACTCTAAAATAAGTTATTTTTAAATGTCTAGGTAAAACAAATGAAAAAAAAAATTTTGCCCACTGAACAATTTATTTTATTTTAAGAAAAATGTATAATTTTTTGGAGCAGTAAACATGTCAGGCTAAATAATTCAAATAAATCATTGATTTCTGCTTTCTTTATTAGTTTCAAAAACACTGATTTCTTTACAACAAATAAGAAATACATAAAAAACCTTGCGTATATCTTGGGAACAGTATAACAGAACATTTTAGCAATATTCAAACCTTGACTTTTCCAAACCGTGGTAAACCTTGAAACCGCTTATCATCCCATGGCTAATTTGTAATGTACAAGACACTCAGATAGAGCTTCAACTGGCTACAGCTTAGCCTGATTTATTATGAACTGTCTTAAAACACTTAAAACAGCACTAGCCAAAACTAAATTTCACACAAGATGAAAATTCTGTCGTTATTTATTCACCCCTTATTCATGTTTTTTTTTTTCTGTTAAGCACAAAAGAAGATATTTTAAAGAATGTTGTTGCAGGTATCCGTTGACAACCATAGTACAGTACAGTATGTGTTTTTCTTCCTATAGATGTCAATGAGTTCCAGCAACTAACATTCTTAAAATATCTCCTGAAAAGGATTAAAACCATGTAAGTCGAAATAAATAAACAAGCTTTCCCTATAATATGTATGAAACTGGACGTGAGAGTTTTTATTATTTTACTACTAATAAATCATACCACTAATAACCAAGCTCTGAGAATCACCCGTTTTTCGTTCATTTTGTGGCAATATATTGAATGTAGCGAATCTTTAAATGTAGACTCGCGCTTACCAGTTTAATTGAATCATAGGATTATTTACTGAATCTTGACTGGATCGGTTAAATCAGTACAGTAAATCACTAAACTGTATACTCGCTCTGACCGGATCATTTCAGTTATTGAACCGTTAATTGTAGACTCGCTCTAACCAGATCAGTGAGTTATTTATCAAAGACTCCCACTGACTGAATCAGTGAATTGTTCATTTGAGAGTGAGACTCGCTCTGACTGGATCATTTTAATCAGCGAGTTGTTGACTCGAGAACAAATGCAGAATCTGTTCAATTCATGAATGAATTGTTTAGTCAAATCCCAAACTGGTACAACAGGTAAACAGAGAAGAATGTGCTTTTTCGTGAACTGCACATCACGTCTTGTCTCTGATTTCTCCTGCTAAAAATAGCAAAGAACAACATTTTTAAATGCAGTGGAGTAATAATAGTTTTACTGTCCACCACCCATAACTCAAACCTTTTTCCCAGGTGAAGGTGAGCTCTCGAGACAAACACGTGGAGGAGAGGACACTCTCACAGCGGCAGGACGAAAACCGCCATTCAGCTCGACAGCAGGTAAAGCAGCACAACCACTGTTTCAGATCCTCCCTCCTGGATGAGTTTGTGCCCTAGTTATGATCCCCACTGTATGATAAGGTCTGCAGTACATGTTCATTAAGCAGATTAAGCTAGCACTCACATTCTCTGAGTTACATCTCCTGCAGGCCCAAACCGAGCGACAGCTGCGATACAAGGAGAAGGTGACAGAGATGAGGAGGAAGAGAAACTCTGTTCCTCCAAAAGAGCAAAAAGACAAGTTCACAGTGAGTGCCACACGCTCTACGTTTACACAAGTAATGACAGCGTGATTAGGCTCTGAGCTGTGACTGTGTTTCTCTGTCCAGGAGCACAGACAGACCCACAGCAGCAGCCGTGAGCCTCTACTGGAGAACATCACTAGTGATTATGACCTAGAGCTCTTTAGAAAAGCCCAGGCACGTGCCTCGGATGATCTTGTAAGAGAGAAGACCCATCACATTTTCTCCCTTTTGCTTTCTCCTTTCCCCTGTCTTTTCTATAAGTCTATAAAGGTCTTGGGTGTTCTGAGCCTTTGCAGCACTGCGTTCTGGGTTATGTGATGGGCCTACACTGGACTCTCCTTCACACTGCTGCCATTCTCTCATCTGTAGCATATATGAGTGTCACAACATATTTCATAAATTTGATTGAAATGTTCCTTTAAGAAAAAATAATAATCTTTTAAAGGCATTTGCCTAAGCTGATGTCTTTATAAGCTTTCATTTACGCATTGGTTGATTAGTGGGGAAAGTTTCTGAAAAAAAAATACATGACCATTCTAAAGTTTGAGGGTTTGTGGCATTTCTTATGCTTTCTGAAGTTTGAGATGTTTCTTAAACTCAGCAAGACTGAGCTTATTTGAACAAGAAATACAGTAGAAGCTATGATATTGTAGCTTTTACAGAATGTTACAAAAAAATGTATAAACTCAAATCATTTGATTCTACTTTACTCTAAATCAGGGGTTCCCAATCGTTTCAGCCTGCGACCCTAAAAATGACAATGCCAGTGACTCGTGACCCCCAATATCCTCTGAGGTGGTTATAAATTCAGAAACCTTGTATGCAATAGCGCACACACTCCAATAGACCCAATTCTATTCTTCGTTTAATTTTTTAATGTATGTCAGTGCTGTAAATGGGCCAAAAAGTTTAACCTGGTTCCATAAAACCAATCTGCTGCATCTGACGCTATTGCTGTGTCTTTAATATTATGTAATTACCCCAGGGGTCGCAATCCGATAGAACTAGTAACTATAAGCTACTATAGTAACAATATAGCATTCAACTATAAACAACTATTTTTTTTCTTCAGTAGGTTATGGATAAAAAATGGTAATTCTAGTGGTTTATCAAAAACAAATAAATTTTTGGAAATCACCAGGCGACCCCTCTTCATTATACCACGACCAGTTGAAAAGAAGACTTTTTAAATGATTTCTTAAGTTTTTTCGATTGCCTTGGACTGCTGTTTATCTTTGTTTATCCCATACCCAAAGAGCACCGACACATTACCCTTGAAGAACTTTTTGTTTGATTTTGGGTTTTTGACATATTTTTACCTGAATGATATTTTGACATATGTTAACCTGAATGATGATGGAACATTATTTCAACCCAATTGTAAATAATTTTCAAAAATGTGTTTGAAACTTTAAAGTAGACACTTCTAAATTTGATTTGTTGCACTTCCTATGGACATGAAATCATTTTTGTAAATTTTAATTGTTGTAAATTCCAAAAATGCTATGCCTAGTCTTTGACATCGTTTTTGATATGATAACTGTAATACAATATTTTAAAATGAA